TTACTGGTTCTCTTCAGGAAAGAGGTTTTTTCCGAACCAGCAGTAAATAAAAAATGACTTTCAATAAGTATTATTTATAATCTAAATTGAATAAAAGGTTTCTGTTTCTGTACCTAGTGTGTGGTAATATTATAAATATAAATAGACATATTATCCCTTAGCCATCTTGGTATATGGAATTTACACTCACAATCAATCAATACAAAAATAGAATCCATATGTGCACAGATAGGCACTATGTTTTGCTGGAACTAGGTTTTACATCGATTTTAAAGTATCTATAAATGCTGAATATACCTACAGCTTTGTTTTATATGTACTATTATTCAACTGTGCACTATTTTAACTTATAATACCGATGAATACTACTAGAAAATCGCTTCAAATTTGTTTTTAGGTTATTGTTAGATTCACATTTTATTTGTTAATTTCTCAAAACTCCGTTTAGACGCAGTAAAACTAATAATATTGTTGTAATCTATGGATTATAAGGAATAAATTGGCATGCATTTCATTGAGAATCTTTAAAATTTGTTGTGGGCCCATTCTCCATACAAAAATTGATTGTCTCCTTTTAGCGGTTAAATAATTTGAAAAGGGTAAAACACAAAATCATTCTAGTTTTATATCACCACAACCATGTTTTAAGACAACATAAAATATAACATTAAAATGACGATGTTTTCGGTTCTCTCATCTTGTAACGATTTTAGTAATTATTCTAATCGGGGTTACTTAATCGATTATTCTGCTTGTTTCTCTAAACAGAATTCATTTCCAATATCTCTTTGTAACACGTGCGATGCAGTTTTGTCGATTAGTGGAAAATCGCGCTACAAAATAGTCAATTTATGTTCCCCAATACCCACTAATTTATATTACTATAAAGATCTTCCATCTACGTCTTAAGAATGTGCCAGACTTAGCTTCCAATTGCTGCAAATACGCAAAAAGTTTCAAAGTAGCTAAGTGTGGCATGCATTTGCTTATGTTCACAAAGTTTGAACTGATATTTGCATTTTGTCATCCAGTGTCGGTTTTCAACACACATCAAAGTAAACAAAGTTCAACGTTTGAGCGCCTGCCAAACTTATCGCAAAGTTTGGTAAGGCGTGTGCTGTTGAATGGAGCAGTTGTGAGTGTCAACAATATGTTTTACTAGAGATGCTGGTATCGAATTTATATTATTTGAAATGAATTATAGTGTATATATAGTACACACTATAATGTATGTAGTAGACGTGCTACAAAGAGAAGTTATTAGTTAAAAGCAGTGTGTAAAGCCCCCTGAATCTAGATGAAATGACGATCTGCGCAAGGCATGATATTGGGCTACGTGGCGTACCTTAGGATAAGCCTAAGTAAGTCTATAAACTACCGCAGGCTGATGTTGATAATGATAAAATGTATCGCTCCGTAAGATGGGTTTCGTAAAAGGCGACTAAAGGAAATACCAGAAAGATGTTATGGCTTCCTGTAGATGGCGGTATACCATCTAGTTTACAGCAAGCATAAAATATATAGATAGCATAGACCAGCGTCATAGTATAGTCATGAATTCAATCACTCTTGTACTGGTACAGTAATCGTCAATGCACCTGCCAAGTGTGGCAATTGAGGCTCATCCTCCATACAGTGGGAGGTACCTATGGCAAACAACCTTATAAATAAAGTAAAGCTTAGCAATAGAACTAGCTATACGGCGTCCACAAAATAGGCGTCTATTCTGTGAGCCATCCTTGCGATAAATGTGAGAATAAATGTTTGGAAACAAGTTTGCCGGGTACTTTCGTATTTTTTTTTCATTTTCGTATTCTTTCGTTTTATTTCGTATTTTTCACGCACAAAGTTTCTTCGATTTTTTTTCTAATGTTCGTCCAAACTTTTACACTTTTACGCTGGGGTTACCTATCACCATGTATTCCGCACTCACTCACTCGTCTATCTGATTGATTGACTCATCATCACCATCATCATTACAGCTCTTCACAAGTCTACTGCATAACATAGACGTCCCCAAGGAATGCATCAAAGCACGGTCGTGAGGCACCTGCATCCATTGAATTCCTGCTCCATCGTCATATCCTCATTCTTAAGTCTATAATGCAAAGAAAACCCAAGCATAGACCTCCCCATAGCTCGCTGACTGACCTTGGGCTCCCTCATGTGCCCAGTAGTAAAGGACCACGTCTTCGAGCTATAAGTCATCACTGGCAACATGCACTGGTTGTACAGCATTGTTTTCAGGTTTAGAGGTATACTTAAAGAGAAGATGTGTCATCGTAATCTCTCGAATTCTGCCCAGACGAGTGGATCTCTTGAGTGACCTCTCGGTTGAAGTTGGATTTACCTCCAGTAATTCTGCCATAACGACTGTATCGTCGGCAAATCAAAGGTGAGTGACGTACTCTCCATTGATGTTAATACCGTATCCTTTCCAGTTCAGTAGCTTGAAAACGTCTTCCAATGCAGCGGTAAATAGTTTTAGCTGTTGGATGTGTTTCTCAATCGGATCCATCGTAGATTTACTGTACAAACATTTCAGCACTTCGAAATACCGACAATCAACGTTATTGAAGTGTCATTAAAAGATAACACATTTAAATGACATGTTTTTACTGATTTCATTACATATGTATACAAATAAATTTTAGTTGAAAGTTATATATATATATATATATATATATATATATATATATATATATATAACTTTCAAATAATTTAAAATATTGCTAATATAAAATAGTAAGATTTTATATTTTGACTAAATTAATAACTTTTTATTAAGACTGAGAAATCAAGAGTAGCAATATTTTCTATTAAATTGGATTCCACCCGAATTTACCCATTTGAGTATCCGGTACCAAATTCAACTAACAGAAACACTTATAAAGTAATTGACTTCCTTTTTGGCTCACTAAAGTTTTTATCATGCGTTTGATTTATATGCAGTTTGGGAAAATAAAAAAATCACAATTCCAGATTCAGGGGCTTCTGATAGGAAAAACTTGATATCATTCTTGCTTTTATTTGTAGAGTTACAAAAAAAATGTTTCTATTAAGTTTGTTGTGTATAAAGATTAAGTTTGTTGGCTATAAAGATTGACGTTTTATTACCCGACGAATTTAGAAGGAGGTAATGTTCTTCGAGAGTATGTATGTACGATTATGTATGTATGTCTGTTTTTTTCGTACAATTTGTAGCCTAAAACATGATGGTTTTTAAACAGGAGGTGCCGTTAGATTTATCTTAATTGAAGGATTGACAAAAGATATATAATATTTATATAGTGCATCTGCAAATACAAAAAAGGGAGGGGAATGTTTTGTCAGTAAGCTTTTCAACACACTTGGCTTTAATTAATTAATGCTTTACTCATCAAGCTTGTTTTACATTCCTTCATTTCTTACTTTTTTATAGGATAGGGAGACAAACGAGCACACAGTCCACCTGATGGTAAGTGGTTGCTACGGCCCATAGACATCAACATCTATCCTCGATTACAAATCAAAATGCCGATGCGTTGTCACCCGTGAGGACTAATATGGAATGCCTCGTTTCCAGTAAAAAGGGTCTCCGGTTCTCTACACTCACCATACGAAACACAGTAGCATTAAGCTACTATTTTACGATGGTATTTTGTGAAAGCGTGGTCCTTCCCCGGTCGAGCCGACCCATTCGTGCCACAACTATACTACTAATATAACTGCAGCATGGCTCTACCGCGTATAAACTGAACTGAACTGAGGAAGCCCGTGCCCGACCAGTGGGTCTTTTCAGAGCTGCAACTTTCCTTTTTCATACATTTATTCAACCAGTTCAGCCTATCAAAGTACACTGTTGCAGATAAGCCTCGTCATTCATTGCTTCGTAAGGAGGATTATACGCCTTCCCATAGATTGCATGTTACGTTTATAGTAAATATCCCTCGTTGCCGTAGTTACCACGTTTGGCAGGCAGATTGTAAGATAAAGTTTTTTTTATCTAATAGTTGTTGTTTGGGAAGACGCTGCTGCACATTTTCTTGTTTGTTTATACGGCCTCTTACGACACCGACGGAACCGGTTATGGCAGTCTAATAATATACACTACCTTACAGAGTATTGTGGATGGCGAGAGAGGGAAACAATTCTAAATAAAATTCCGCATTCAAATAATACAGACTAATGACGGGGAGCATCATGTGAAAGTATAGGCTTTTCGTTTGTTAAATTTCCTGTTTTAGTGGTGCCTACGGGCTAGCCTCTCAAGTTACGATTTTTTTCTGAAGAGGTTCTTATTTTTTTATAACTCTAAAGTGAATAACCAACATCATCATCATCATTCATCATCATTACAGCTCTTCACAAGTCCACTGCTGAACATAGGCCTCCCCCAAGGTATGCCACAAAGCACGGTCCTGAGCCACCTGCATCCATCGACTTCCTGCATGTCTTATCAGGTCCTCACTCCATCTAGTTGGGGGTCGCCCTACACTTCGCCTACCGGTAGGAGGCTGTCACTCGAGAACTTTTTTGCCGTGTAGTGGCGGTTGAGAATATCCACTACCCTATATCTTCCCGTGGGTGTCGTAAGAGGCGACAGAGGGAGACAGGCAGGAGATGGGCAGCAGCATCTTCCTAATAACAACAATAATATAATAAAAAAACTGCGGTTGACAACCCGCTCGCCAAGCGTGGCAACTATGCCAAATATCCCCCCATGAGTAACGACGCGAACAACCAACATACGAGTAAACAAATAACTCACAACGCACCTAATAGCAAATAACCACTTCAGCCCAAGGATACTTGCAATTAACTTAAAAGAAAGAAGGATACAGATGAGTTGTCGCCTCTGAGGACTAAGATAGAATCACGCATGTAATAATACTGGCTCTTTACTCCCTTCACACCTAAACACAGTAGTGCTCGCAATGCTGCATTCTCAAAGCTAGAATAAAAAAGAAGGGAAGATTGTTGGAGACAATAAAACTAAACTTTCATCGGAGATGCTACTTTTAATTTATATTCTTATCTATCCATTCTCTATACCTTGAAACGTCAGTGAAAACTACGTATTGAGTTGGATCACACAGTGGCACATCCCGTCTGGAGACAGTTAGTGACACTATTCCCTTGAGGTACCAAGCACCTGGAGCGTTTGGATGTGCGTCGTGCGATATGTCAGGCACAAAAACAAAAAAGCCACCGCCACTATCCCCATTGCAGGCTGATGTTCCTGAAAATGTTTTTAGATTTGATAAATTTTAATTTGGACTCCACGGACTTTTATGTGAGAAAAGTGCTGGTCAGTTAAGCCTTTTGTTTCTATACATTTTCTCGTAGTTTTAGAGTATCTTGGAATATTTACAGATAATGGCAGGAGACATGACGGTATGATTTTGGTGCCTTGGGAGAGACGCAAAGCTCTTGTGTGGGATGCTACATCCGTAGACACTTTGGCGACCTCACATCTCAGGAGTACCTACTCATTTAGAGTGGATCGGAATTGAAGATAGCTGAACTGAGTAATATAAGTATCTGCGAGACTATTTTTTGTGCTATTTGCTATAAAAAGTGTCAGTCTTGGGTTCATGTATGGTGCAATTCCTTAAGGAAGTACATGGTTATTTTTCAAAAAATAACCAAATTTTAAACTTAAGTTCAAATATATAAATAATAATACACCGTTACTGCAGTTTATTGAAAATACGAGTTTTTTTTTATAGAATAAGGGTGACAAACGAGCACACAGTCCACCTGATTGTTAAGTGGATGCTGTGGCCCATAGACATCTACATTTATCCTCGATTGGGAATCAAAATGCAGATGCGTTGTCACCTGTGACGACTAAGGTGGAATACCTCGTTTCCTGTAAAAAGGGTTTCCGGTTCTCTACACTCACCATACGAAACACAGCGTCATAGAGATCCTATTTTACTTTGATATTCTGTTAGAGCGTGATCCTTCCCCGGTCAAGCGGAACCATTTGTGCTACAATAATTATATATCTGCAGTTTTAGTAATGAATAGTACCACATATTAAAAAATATAAATAAGGATTCTACTTTTACTTAAAATTATCCCAAATTGGATGTGATTTACGGGCAATAACGTTTTTGCCTACCTATCGACCCTTACGTGCGTAAGCAGTAAAATCAGTTAAAGTAATGCATTACCACGCATTTTGAATTTAAAAAGTAAAAAGGATAGAATATTTGAGATTTTCTTAAAATAAGTTTTCTTCACCTTTTCCCTTTATTACTTATTCTGATGATTGATGATTCTGTGCCGTGTAGTGGCGGTTAAGAATATTCACTACCCCATATCTTCCCGTGGGTGTCGTAAAAGGCGACAGAGGGAAACAGGCAGGAGATGGGCAGCAGCATTTTCCTGATAACAGTAATTGTACGACAAAAAAAACTGCGGTTGCCAACCCGCTCGGCAAGCGTGGCAACTATGGCAAATATCCCTCCATGAGCAACGACACAAATAAACTGCCCCCAGTCCCCGGTGGCCCCGCTATTCCTGGCTACGGTGGCGAACATGGTAACGGCGGGGCAGTGGGTGCTAAGAATCTCCGGTGGAGGTTCGGTTGCCACCTACGACGACTCGACCTGGCAACATTTAACGCACGCACCGTGAGGACTGACGAGAAGATCCTGGAGCAAGAAGAAGAGATAGACAAGTTGTGCTGGAATATTATAGGATTATCCAAGGTCCGAAGAGAGGGGGAGGACACGGTGATTCTCGAATCCGGCAACTTGTTCTATATCCGGGACCATCTGTCCCAAGGAGGTGTTAGATTTATCGTTCACAAGTCGTTTGTCTCGTTAACAACGTTTTAAAGATTGGGAGTATATCGACGAGGGTTGCGTAACTTATACTCAGAATCACCAAACGGTATTCGCTGAAGGTCATGCAGGTTTACGCACCGACCTCGGCACATCCCGATGAGGAGGTGGAGGAAATGTAGGAGAATATTTTCAGAACCATGCATTCCTCCAAAACCCACTACAAGGTGTTGATGGGAGACTTCAACGCAAAACTAGGCACAAGAGAAAACGGTAAGCTGAAGGTATGGAATTTTGAGATAGGGCAACGGAACCCAAGGGGCCAGCAGCTGGCCGACTTCATGGAGAAAGAGGGACTTTTTATGATGAATTCTTTCTTCCAGAAGCGGCCCCACAGAAAGTGGACCTGGTCGAGCCCCGACGGTTCGACAAAAAATGAGATTGACTCCATTATGACGACCAGACGCCAACTGTTCGGTGATGTCTCAGTGATCGCAAGGGTGAAAACTGATAGCGATCACCGAATGGTTAGAGGCACACTGAACCTAAACGTTAAGTTGGAGAGGTCTCGTCTAATGAAGTCAACGCTCCATCCCCCTCGTGCTCTAATCCAGAATCCCGAAACCTTTCAGCTCGAGTTACAAAACCGCTTTCAGTGCCGCACCGCAGTAAAACCAGAGTGACCGACATAGCCCAACGGATTAGTAAGCTTAAGTGGCAATGGGCCGGCCATATAGCTCGAAGAACCGATAACCGATGGGGAAGAAAGGTTCTCGAGTGGCAGCCTCGTACCGGTAGGCGTAGTGTAGGGCGACCCCCCGCTTGATGGAGTGACGACCTGGTAAGATATGCAGGAAGTCGATGGATGCAGGTGGCTTAGGACCGTGCTTTGTGGCATTACTTGGGGGAGGCCTATGTTCAGCAATGGTCTTGTGAAGGGCTGTAATGATGAATGATGTCTTATTCTGAACCTTATTGCAAACGAAACCTGTATATCCGTGACTTGTTTTCGCCGCTGGTGGAAGGTGCTGGATCTTTTCTCGCCTAAAGGCTAAATGTAGCCATTCAGCGAGGAAACGCCGCCAGTGATGAGTTGGATTTTTTTTGTAATTTTAATTTATTTGTTTTAGTACTTTATAACTTTTATAATATGTAGATAATAGACTTCATATCAAGGTAGTAATTTCGAAATTTTAAAAATAGGTCTCGTGCAGATCTGATCTTAAAAATATCCACATGAAATCTTATAACTATTTACTTACCATTTTTCAAACCTGCACAAAATTTGTTTTCGGTCAAAACATTTGAGTAGAATAACGGATTGCTTTTGTAACATGTGTTCTCAGATATGATTGGCATAGTTGCTTGTCGAAGCTGACTCGATAGTTCGTCAGTTTGATCGAATCCCCAACCTATGACCTACAAATAATAGTAACACATTGAATTTTACATTTACTGATTCATTCAAATGTCTATTTTCTCCAAAGTATCTATCAGAAAATCATCATCGCCATTATTAAAGCCTATTAAAGTCAACTGCTGAACATGGGCCTTCGCTCATATATTGCACATGGGGGGTATCATATTATATTACACATGGGGTACAGGGGGTATTCACCCTATGGTATACTTACCATACGCTTACGCTTTAGGCTTACACCTTAGCAGGCGGATTGGCAACTGCAGGTTTTTTATAATTTTAAATTGCTATAATGTCCTCCGGACCGAATTTCGGCCACGGCGGCCTGCCTCAACGGAGGCTAGCCATCGGCGCAGGACAGGATTATAGTGCCCAAGTGTATGCGCAAGCACAGGTGCACTCTCTATTCCCTCACTCTCATAATCCGATGGGACGGTAAACCCACACGACCGGAGAGAGATCAGGCGCAGGACCAACGAGTTTACGTGCTTTTCGAGGCACGGGGATGAGATACCGCCAACTTCCTGACTCCGGGCAGTTACTGAGAATTTCTTGACAGAAAAACTCAATAATTGATTTTTTAGCCTGACCCGGGATTAGAACCTAGGACCTCATGATCAGCAGTCGCACCACTACAACCACTAGACCAACAAGGCAGTCTAAATTGCTATAAGGAACACACTTGCTGCCCATCTCCTGTTTCAATTTCCCTCTGTCTACTCTTACGACACCTGCGGGATGACATTGGGTAGTGGATTCTATCCCCTTTATTCACCATGTAGTGGCGGCGCAAGATAATCCACCACCTCTCAAAGAATATCGTAAGAGAATTAATCACTCCGTTTCATCTCGTAAATCTTAGTAGGTGAATATCATGTATATTATGTACGATTACTTTAAATATACAAAATTTGACCTACACAAATTTCAAAAACATTATTAAACTAAGTTTGTATAAAAAGGGTTATTATAATATTATGGAATTTATGGATGACAATAACCCCTGGGAAGGATGATCGCTACCAAGATAATCCTAATTTGTTTGTGTTGTTAATTGTAACATACATGATTGTAAGCTGTTATTTAAAACAAATAGTCCCGCTGGATTTCTTGCTGGTTCTTTCCAGGACAGAGGTTTTTTCCGAACCAGTGGTAAATTAAAAAAAATTGACTTTCAATTAGTATTCCTTATAATTTATAATGAATAAAAAAGCTTCCGTTGCTTTAGAAATGCTTAAAATATCACATCGGTACCGACAAATAGGCATAATATATAACCTCATCGCCTAAACTAGAAGTCTGGAGTTGTATTTTGTATTTGGACTTTTAAAAACTTATAAAAAGAATAAGTAAGAACAGTAAGTTCGTAGTAAGGTTCTCTTTGTACGAACTCGTTGTATGATTGTTTCTGTGTCCTGTTGTTTGTACAGGAATGGATAAAGGAAACATAAATAGGACATACCGTTCCAATAATTTCATTCGTAGGTATTTTTTCTATTGCTTTCTCGCTCCATATACACGCTGGTTGAACGTAATCGGTAAAGGTTACTTCCGTTCTTAATTTAAGTAATGCAATATCATTATCCAATCGGATCTTATAGTTAAATTTCTCATGTATAATAACTTTAAATACCTGAAAATAATCCAAATGTATTTTTAAATTAAGCTCTTTGATAATGTTCCAAGGGCCAAGTGCGTAAGTTATAACCATTACATAAAAAATAAAGATAAGTAACGAGCACACTGTCCTCTTGATGCTAACTTTAGCACAAGTAGTTGAAGTGGCATATAACATACTCGTAAATATCTACATCTACCTTTTATTTAAAATCAAACTGCAGTTGCGTTGTGGTCTGAAGATTAAGACGAAATGACTTTTAGTCTTTTTACCGGTAAAAAGTATTTATAATTTAAAAAAATATGTTAAAATCATTTTTACCAGTCAAAAAATGCTCCAGTTTTCGTCACTTAACTTGTAAATTCCAGAAGCATTATGCTGGTAGGTACGAACGTCATTGCCTGGTCGAGTCGCAGTCATATATCTACTACAATTCTATAGTAGTCCCAACTACAAATATAAGTAGTGAAACTGGAACGTCACAGTTTAAATTTTCAAAGAATTTAATATCTATCTTCATATTTTTGCATTCAGGTGTGTGAAAAGTAATAAAAATTTTAATTATTTTATTGTTTTCTTGTCTAATATACTATTTTCAGCGTAGTCCATTATAGATTACAGAGAACACAAACCTCAAACATAAGCCTTTGTCAAATATGCTTAATGTAAAATCGTTGATGATATAAAGAAAGGGTAAAATTACTCACTTCTTTCTCTTGTACCGCTATATCTCCTCCTACGAGATTATATTTACCTAAAACTATATTCAAAATATCTGGAATCACAGCTTCACCTCTAATTGTAGCACAATGAGCAGCTGAAACATTGGAGATAAAAGCAAATTTCATAATCTAAAAATGACATAATTTTATCTTTTTCTCGGTCAGCTGCTGGATATAGCTCTTTTCAAGAATGTGCAATCTCTTAAAAATACCCATAATAAAGAAATAGTCGTGCTTCTCCTCTTCACCAGTAAATTATATTTAAGTTACATTATTTTCATGGATTTACAACCATCAGTTGGTCGAGAAAGCTTTATTCGCTATTTTCCAGAATGTATCAAAGCCAGATGTTGGTAGTCAACTAGAGAAAATTTAATGTGTTAATCTGATGGTTCTTTAAATACATTTTAAGAGTAATATTTTTCAATTATTTATATCGATTTTAGTATTAAAGCACCGTGTAGTGACGATGTAACTTTATTGACTACTCTATAATATGATCTCGTTGATGAGGTAAGAGGCGACGCAGGGAAGTGAATCACATTGGCAGCAGCATCATTCTGATAAACTCTCAAAATAATAAGCAATTGTAGTTGCCACCCGTCAAGTGTGGCAACTATGGGGGAAACGTCAGCAGTGGAATTTTGATTGTGGCTGTAATGAATGAATGAATTATACGAAAAGCCACGCTAAAAGTTTTGCGAAAAAAGATTGTGTGAGATACTGACCAGATATATTATTTATTTGATTATTTTAAAACACAAATGTTCCATCTCCTGATTTCCTTTTACATTTTTTAGAGCTTAATTGATATATGGTAACATTTTCAAGCGATGATTTTTTCTAAAGATTTCAAATGTAAAATTCAAAACCAAACAAATTGTTTGATTGTCCTCAAATGGACATTACGATCAAGGAATCTTAAAAGGATACAGCTGCATTAAAAAAAATAGCATTATCGTTCAACTTTAAAATATGGTAACGAAGTGGTCACCCTCTTACTTTTGACTGTTACGGCAGGAAATTTGCTGGCAGTGAAAAATTGAATTTAAGAGAATAGGCGCTTTGCGTAGGAAGAAATTCAACATATATAGATTGGATCGGGAAGCGTTTACAAAATTTTACAACACTTTCGCGTCAGGATAATAATTCGCGAAAGTTTCATACACACCAAGGACCATGTGATAATATATTATAAATTGGTTTAGACGCATAAAACTGTTAAGATGCTGATGGCGAGTTTTTGCATAGTATTGAATAAATTTTTATTTTTTTTTAGTTTCGCATAACGTTTTAAGTGGCGCACGGATAAAGTCTTAGTAAGGATCACCTTACGAACAGCCTTAGTCTCCATCACAATTACACACCACCACATGCGCATGCAAACTCGTCAGGCACTCATCACTACGTACACACTTCTCTCAATATCGATATAGCCTCATAAAATAGTGAAGTGGGTAAGTAAAAAGTGGGTAAGTTTTTAATCACTGACTTCATTCTTTCTCGTTATTAATTATCAAATTAATATTTGATACATACCAGTTAATACGTAATTTTTTGAAAGCAAGGTTCCACCACAAATGTATTTTATATCAGCCCTGTGCAATCTATATATAGCCACGTGCCATGGCCAATCGCCAGCCTTGGTATTTGCTCCTCCCACAATAAGTTCAGTGTGTGTTATTTTTCTTCTTCCACAGGAATCTTCTACTATTTCAGACGTTGGTACTACTGGTTGGTTCGTTGGTTGGTTGGTTATTGGTTGGTTTATTTCTATAAAATTATTTAAATAATCCTGTCGAGTAATAAATTTATTAATTTTGTTTCATTTTATATTAGGTACTCTCTTTCCTATTTATGCTATCAAACAGTAATGCTTGCACTACTATGTTTCTCTGTGAATCTATAGAGAGCTAGTATTATTTCGGTCATGAGGCATGTCGTTTTATCAAATTGTTATGAGAAAATTAAAATCGCAAATGGAAACGGGTCGCTCTCGAATTGGAATAATGGGTCGTAAACATATACTAGTGCATTATTTTACATAGAATCTAAGGTGATAAGCGAGTACACAGCCCACCTCGAAGCAAGTTGATGTATCGCCCATGAACATATCCAACTATCCCCAATTCAGAATCAAAATGCAGGCGCCTAGTTATCCCTAAAAACTAAGATGCAATACATTGAAAAGGTTTTTCGCTTCTCTAACCGCATACGAAACACAGCAACATTATTCTGGTGTTTCACACTAGTATTTTTTGAGAGCGTGGACTGGCCCCGGTAAAGCCGATCAATTCGTGCCTTAGTCATAATATAGCTACAGCGTGGCTTTACAACGTCGAATTCGTATTACGCAATGCATTTCATAAGTTTATATCCACAAGAGCCGTGGTAACTTAGATGGTTAGCGCTCGTTGTATATTTCACAGTACGGGAGCAAACCGGGTTCGATCGCCGCCGGCACCAATAAAATTGTTAAATGCAATTTTAAGTGCTGATTTACCACGTGCTCGGCGGTGAAGGAAAACATCGTGAGGAAACCTGCATGTCTGAGAAATAAGAAAAAAAATATTTCGAAGACATGTGAAGTTCACCAACGCGCATTTGGGCAGCGCAGCAGACAATTCCTTGCCCCAAAACCCTCTCAGAAATGAGGGCAGGCCTGTGCTCAGCATTGGACCGTATATAGGCTGTAACTTTAATGTATTCCATCGGTCGGCTTAGTAAAATTTATAATTTTATTTTGTGATGACTTTTTCAATCTATCTCGATTTCTGAACAAAAATTTAAATAATTAACACTTAATGAATTATATTCCTTAAGATTACAGTTTATAATTTTAATTGTTTTTTGTGGCCAACTGATGCTAAACAAATTATAAACAAAGAAGGATACTGAGGCGTACAATATCCAAATTTATCAAAGTTTGCCAAAATCTATCTTTCAGTACCCTGCAGCAGTATATACAGTGAAAGACATTTTTTTCTGAGACTGGACTTGTTTATGAAGAAAGACGAAACCGCTTGTTACCTTTCAATGCGAAGAAGTTAGTATTTATTCACCATAATTTGCCATTAGCTACGTAATATTGTTATTTAGTTAGTACTAATTTTGTAAGTACGCCGCCAACCATCCTGCGGTGTGAGTGCTCCATGCCGGAAGTGCAGTTCACTCAGCGCTCGGTTCGCAAAGCACTCCTCTCCCTGGACATCCATAAGTCGAGTGGGCCTGATGGAATCCCCCCCAATTGTGCTGAGGACGTGTGCTCCAGAGTTGGCACCGGTTTTAACGCGTCTTTTCCGGTACTCCTACTCCCTAGGCGTAGTCCCAAAATCATGGAAGACGGCTTTCGTCCACCCGATCCCTAAAAAAGGCGACCGCTCAGACCCGTCCAACTACCGGCCTATCGCCATCACCTCCTTGTTCTCCAAAACAATGGAGTCCATTGTAAACTGCCAGCTCATGAGGTACCATGAAGATCACCAACTGATTAGTGACCGCCAATACGGTTTTCGCCGTGGTAGGTCAGCTAGTGATCTTCTGGTCTACCTAACTCACAGATGGGCGAAGACAGTAGAGTCCAAGGGGGAGGCATTGGTCGTTAGTTTGGACATTGCGAAGGCCTTCGATCGGGTTTGGCACAAAGCGCTTCTTTCGAAGCTCCCTTCCTATGGGCTTCCCGAGAAATTGTGCGATTGGATCACCAGTTTTCTTGCGGATCGGAGCATCAAGGTCGTTGTAGACGGTGCAAGCTCCGATTGCAAGCTTATTAATGCTGGTGTTCCACAGGGCTGCGTGCTATCGCCAACGCTGTTTCTTCTGCAAATCAATGATATGTTGCAAACCCGTAGCATTCATTGCTATGCAGATGACAGCACTGGTGATGCTCTTTACACCGGCCGAGCCAATATTTCTCGGGAAAACGTCTCTGAGTGCCGGGACAAACTTGTGTCTGAAGTCGAGTCTCTGCTGGACAGAGTCTCGGATTGGGGGCGACTAAATCTAGTCCAGTTTAACCCCCAGAAGACACAAGTTTGCGCGTTAACCGCTAAAAAGAACCCCTTTGTCGTATCCCCTCAGTTTCAAGGCACTCCCCTTGTTGCCTCAGCCAGTATCGGAATCCTCGGCGTCGACATATCGAGTGACGTGCAGTTTCGTGGTCACTTGGAAGGGAAGGCCAAATTGGCCCCTAAAAAGCTTGGCGCGCTCAGCAGAGCGGGACAGTATTTCATGCCGGCACACCGCCTGCAACTTTACAAGGTGCAGGTTCGGCCGCTCATGGAATACTGTTCCCATCTCTGGGCTGGGGCTCCCCAGTACCAGCTCCTTCCACTTGACCGCATCCAGCGCAGAGCGGCTCGAATCGTCGACGACCGTGTGCTTTCCGATCGGCTCGATTCACTGGCGCTGCGAAGAGATGTTGCATCTCTTTGCGTATTTTATCGCATCTATCACGGGGAGTGCTCTGAGGAATTGTTCGAATTAATCCCAGCCGCCAAATTTCGTGAACGCACTACACGGCAAACGTCCCGATACCATCCACACCATCTGGATGCTTGGCGGTCCACCACTGTACGTTTCAAAAGGAGTTTTCTTCCGCGTACAACCTCTGTGTGGAATAATTTACCACCGGTGATTTTTCCGGACCGATACGACCTGGGGACATTCAAGAAAAGAGCTTACTCCTTTCTAAAGGGCCAGCAACGCACCTGCAATTCCCCTGGTGTTGCGGTTGATCATGGGCGGCGGTAGTCACTTAACATCAGGTGAGCCACATGCTCGTTTGCCCCCTCTTCTATAAAAAAAAAAGTTTTAAAATGAAAATTTTGTGATTACTGATTATGTTTGTTAAGTGACATAAATGAAGTACTTAACAAAATTTGGTATTATATGTTTTTTTTTAAATCCGGTATCCGGCTGGATAGCTGTTTGTTATACGGTATCCGGCCGGATAGTAATTTTAGGCCGGATAGGCTAAATACCGGATAGTTAGCGGATATTCGTTTCATATCTACTTTAGACCAGAATGCGGCAATGCAATCAATACTATTTTGTGGCAGAAATGGTTAAGAGAGTGCTATAGGCAGTGCATATTCCTATCTAGGCAGACTCCTAGGCAAAATGAGTCCTACCGCCTAGAATAAACCTTGTTGGCAATACATTTCATTCTTTCAAGAGCAAGGGCGGATTTTGTGAGAGTTTTTTTTTTACACAGAGTACAGCATTTATTAAAATGTATCTAAAAATTACCTTACGAGGATTGTTGCAAAACTCCACTCCGTTAATCTTTAGACTACCGATATTTGGAATTGCCCCTGAACTCGGCCCCATAACAGAAAATTGTAACGAATCAGTTTCATTGAAAATTCTCATGTTGAACGTATCCGGACTTATAACATTCACTCTTCCTTTAGTTGGTTCGATCTGAAAAAATAAAATTCGCATCTTCATTGAAATATTTTATTTTTGCTATAGATTATCAGAAATTAATAAAATAAATACAAAATGGATCCATTTTTATCACTATAAAACGTTACGTTTTTGGTGTTTCGTTACTCAATAAATAATATAGATGTTCGTGAAGTGATAATAATGTTTTCCAGACCGAATTTCGGTTACGGCGGCCTGCCTCATCGGAGACTTGCCATCGGCGCAGGACAGGATTATCCAATTGTATGTGCAAGCACAGGTGCACTCCCTGTTGCCTCACTCTCATAATCCGATGGGACGGTAAACCGACACGACCGGAGAGAGATCAGGCGCAGGACCAACGGCTTTACGTGCTTTCCGAGGCACGGGGGTGGGACACCGCCAACTTCCTTACTGCGGGCAGCTACTGAAAATTTCTTCACGGAAAAACTCAATAATTGATTTCTAACCCGACCCGGGATTCGAACTCAGGACCTCATGATCAGCAGTGGCACTACTACCACCACTAGACCAACGAGACAGTTAAGATGATATCATCACCCATTAGGGAATCCCATTAGGGAAGTACGTGAAAAATCTAATGACAGCTGATAAATAGCATTATATATAAACCAGATATATGTGGTGATTTATTTATTATTTATTTATTGATCCCCGTAGTGTTGGTGTAGAAATATTCACTACGCTTTATCATCGTCTCGTGGGTGTTGTTACAAATCAGTCGATGGGCTGTAGCATCCTTCTAATAACAACTAAAAATGGGAAACTGTGCTTACCAACCCGCATGGCAATTATTGCAAACATCCCCCTATGAGGAAATCTATAGGGGTGGCCTCAGTTTAGCAATGGACTGTAGATAGGTTGTTTTTTATTACATGCGTGTAGCTATGCTGGTCTAGGGAAAGAGACCAGTATCACTACAACCTAAAAGATCTATTATTACCGCTGCTATGTCTTCAATGAATAGAAGGAATTGCTTAACTGTGCGCAATTTCACTTCTTCTGAACGGACTACATTGTTTCCCAGATGAGTGTTACGTTTGCGCGTTATCGCAATCAGTTAGGATATGCAGAGGCGTTTCTTCCGTTATGGAACAGAATCGAGACATCCTTGAGTTTCTTAGTCTCAACAGTGTTAAGTAAAATGTTACGGTAACGGTTATTCTTTATGCATACCATACAAAACAATAACAAAATATATAAACAAAACATATATTATGTAATCATTAGACTTATTACTGACAAATGTCTTCCAGATAACGAACAAATGAACAGGATTCCATGAATGAAGAAAGATATACGAAGATGTACTTGAAACTGCGTCAATATTGTAACACGTAAGGTACTGACCCCACCAATCTTTCCACTATGAACGAGATCCATGTCTTGCGAGCGCATGTTGGCCGATATATTTTCTGTAGCAGCACTTATATTCGTTAAGCCGCTTTAATATACACTCATATATAGAGCAATGAGAAGTTTCACTTTAATAAGACCAAAAGAAATAGTTATGTTTTTATTTAATGAAATCTCATCGAGACTGGACACGAAGAATTCCATCCAACTCCTCAGGGGTGACAACGTATTTGCATTTTGATCCTTAATCGAGGATAGATGTAGAATACACTTACCATCAGGTGGACTGTGTGCATGTTTGTCATCCTTATTCCTTAAAAAAATCTCTTTTATGCTTTTAAGCTTTTGAAGAAGTTGTTCATATCTTAAAAGGTATTTCCTCTACTTCAAACAACTTAAAATAATATAAAATGATTCCACATTTTGAAGTCGGGCTGGCTCTTTTCAAAGAGGGTCGCTCATGATAAGGCACAATACAGCTTTTTTGTTTGTGGTATGTAATATTGATAGGGTCCAAAAATGATCCTCTCATTCTTCTATACAGTATGTCTTAGAGTGGGAAATAATTTTATGTTCCTTTTAGTTGTTTGAATTCGGCTTTTATTTTTAACTCAAAGTTAATGTCTAACTACAGGAATATTAAAACCAATAATATTTGTTATCAACTTCGCATGTGTAATATATTTTGTAGTCATTATCGTATCGTACAGGGAAAATTTAGAGGAATTATATATACTTTAGCTTACAACTCAGCAACCTCAATAGGTATATAAAGCAATTATTCAGAGATTAGTCTTGTAATTATTCGTAGTTTGATTTTCTAATGACAGTGGACTTTCTCAAATAAATTAAAAGCACAGAAGAGTACATAGTCATGGAGAGATTTATCATAAAGTTTAGTAAATTACGGACCTATTTCAAATAAATATCTCTAAAAACAATTTATAAGGCTCAAAAATCGAACACAGAATTAAATGATTAGTTTTTTTTAAATGTATAATATAAAATAATATAAAAATGTATAATGTATAAATGAAAAAAATCATAAATTATTATCCAATTTTGAAGATTAAGTTTTTTTCGTTCACTTTGAAGCTTGGTATATACGCAGCCAGTTTTTTTGGCACTGGGTGTGGTGTGGGCGCAAAGCTAATCAAAGCGTGTTAAAAATATGCAGTATTATTTAAAATGATCGAAGCAATATTTTTTGGTTGTAGTTAGAATTTTCCAGTGCAAGTCAGATGTTTAAATAAACTGGTTACTTTTTCACTAAAACACAAGTGATTAAAAATTATACGTAATAGTTTGGAAAAAATGTTACTTACAAATTTAACAACAGCTTCAGTGTCCATTTTCAAATCGATTTCCGAAAAATTTGGTATTTTTTTGTCGATATATACACTGTATACATTATTCTTTCCTCTTTTTAGTCCAGTTTCGTATGAAATGACAATGTCACTGACACCTTTGCAAGGATGTGCATGTAATAACGGGTTACCCACGAAGGACCAAGTGCCTTGACCGAAAACATCTCTTGAGAAAAACATAAACAAAATAAACATGAGTTTCATTTTGGTATTCCGTTAATCTTTACTTTAAAAATAAATTCACTTCAATTTCAAGACACTACATTAGGATAAAAAAGCTTATATACTATATAATGAAACTAAAAATATACGAATTCATTTATAACCTAATCGTAAGAAGGCTAAACAATTAATGATTCTAGTTTTATTCTGAGAGCAACTTCTTTGTGCTCATGTTGCAGTTAATTATATTTTTAGCAATAATAAATAAAAGCCTTGATGGCGTCCGATGGATAACAGTACAACCATCTTATAAACGCCTTGACTTATGATGTGATTATGTTGTGGTACCAAGTAAGAAAGCCGGGTCAACTCAAAATCAGTTTGCACGTAGTTCATTGCACTATTGGATAAAGAAAACAAGTAAGTGGCTCAATTTTTATATAGATGTATCGAATGATACATATACTAAATCAGTTTGAGCAACCAAATAAAAAACAGTAAAATGTTATTTTCCAAAATGACCTTTAGTTATTTTTTACAATTTACTGCGACATAATATAACGAAGATCAGGTAAAACCAGTTGTTGTGAATTCCACAGCGTTGGAAATACACGTACGGACAAAACACAGCTTAATGCAAAACGTTTAAAAATCATTTCGCATTGTACGAGTATACATGCTCGTATACATGCTAACAAACACAATTATAAAAAAATAATACTTACATATTATTTATTTGAAACTATTTTTATTAATAATAATTAATTAGCTATTACAGAAAACTTTGATATGACCAGTTATTTTTATAGATTTAGTCGCTCAGCGAGCTATGGAAAAGGTTAGGTTAGTTATAGTTAGTTTATTTTCTATGTATATTCCGCAGCAGAACAAAAGTTACCGGAATATGCCAACGGGTTAGTAAACTGAAGTGGCAGTGGGTTAGTCATATAGCTCGAAGAACTAATAATCTATGGAGAAGAAATTAATGTTCTCGGTTGGATCCTCTTACCAGTATGCGACTTGTCGGTCGGCGCCACATTAGATGAAGTGACGACCTGGTAAGGAGCTTCACACACAATCCATATTGTTAACGTCCCGCCAAGGTCATGCACAATGCATTATAAAAAGGACAATGAATAATGAGTTAGGTTTTAGTCAAGTAGTCAATATCCTATTGCGAAGTGTCGCGATTTTTCGAGCTATATTCAAATATGGCGTTCAGCGCTTTTTAAACTCATAGGTGACGACAGTGACACAAAATGATTGAGATGAAAACAAATGTGTGTAAAAGAAAAAGACTTGTTTTTGTATAATATAAGTCCTTGTTATAATATGTTTTTACGTAAGTTTTTTCTTCGTGATAATATTTTTTACACCTGTGTTTAAAGGTTTTACACAAATATGAGCCAATATTTTTTAACTTTCTCTTTGCAATAAACCGTTTAAACCATATTTATGAATTACTACGAGAATACTAGAGAGGGTGGGGAGGTTTTGCCATATACTACGTGTTACCTAAGTGGGAGGGGGTAAAGATTATATGAAATGGGTCACGTAGTATGGGTACGTTCCTCTTACGTTACTTAAGAAAAATATTGCCGTGTAAGGTTTTTAGAGGAAAAAAAATACCTTTAAATAAATTTATGCGTATAGTCACGCTGCAGACATATAATGATTGAATGCAGCATCAATGCGTCAGCTTGACTGGGGAAGAACCATGATGAATACCAGCGTAAAATGCTGCTATATTTCGTATGTTGAGTATAGAGAACCGAAGACCATTCCAGCTGTTAAAAATGATATAAATATAATATGTAGGTATCTGTGGACTATGCATCCACTTACCATGAAGTAGACTTTGTGCTGGCTTATCACCCTTATTTCATAAAAAATCAAAACATTTTCACAATTGCACTGCAATTCTGCCCTCACCATCCCGCTTACTCAGTGATGTATTCGAAGTGTTATAAAAATCTTAAAAGCTATGCGCATATCTAGTGTGTTCATGAAAAGACCGCACAGGTCTATCCTGCTGTACTTCAAAAATCTGTTGGTTATATGCATAATATGAGAAACATTTGAAAAGATTTGTAATTGCATAAAATTACCTTCAGCTGGAATTCGAATTGAAACTCTAGTATGTAAACAGGCATAAGTCTAAAAAAATAATAAGCTAATTATTTTCTTGAGTACGGTCTCCAACAATTCTTTTATTCTTTTTCTTTTTTTTAAAACGTTACTAACACAGTAGAATTTTTCCCTGTATCATAGAGACCTTTAACACACATTGATTGTACGAGTATATAGGCAATCATCTAGACGAGGAAGGGAAGAGGAAAAATGAAACAGCTGATGGGCAGTAGCATCTCTGTGTTAATACCATAAAATAATAAAAAACTGCGTTTAACCCGCTCGCCAAGAGTGTTAATTTTGACCAAATCCCTATGAGGCCAATCTATGGGAAAGGCCTATTATCAGCACTAAACTTTTGTAGACTTTATTGGATGGATGATATATGGAAACGTTCAGACTTAAACAACTATTTATAGGCCAACCAAAAAGTACTTCTCGTCGTCGTATTTCTATACCTTTAAACGAGCAATTCTTGTATATATATATATATATATATATGTAATCGGAATCTCGGAAACGGCTCCAACGATTTTCATAAAATTTTGTGTGCAGGGAGTTTCAGGGGCAATAAATCGATCTAGCTATGATTTATTTTTAGAAAATGTCTTTTTGTCCGTGTTTTTAGGCAATGAAAAACTGCTACAATATCGTTAGAATAAGAAGGTAAATTTTGATAGTTCATTAATGATTACAAATTGCTTAATTGGTATATTGAGTGGTTACAAAATCGTAATACCATGGTGTCCTGGGTCGAGACCAGACCGACCGACCGACTTTTTTTAACTTTTTTTCAAGTTCCTTTCTTTTTGAGAAAATGTATTTTTTCGAGCCCTTTCTTTAGTATTTTTTAAAAACACGAAAATTTAAATTAAACTAATTACACTAATGATTTTTTATTCAAATAACCAGTTCAGTTTTTTCTATTATGTCGCTAAGATCAAAAAATATTATTCGTATTTCATCAGTATGTAATGTGTATCTAAATATAATTTCCAAAACACACGAATTAAAAAAAACCGAGCGAAAAATACCGAGCAAGGCTCGGTCAACCGGGTACTCGTAATAATAAGATATATTGAACATACACCTACAATGTACACATAATATTGCGAGACAGTAGACGTAATGCTTCGATCAATTGACTACACTGTGAGACTCCCGCATGCAAATGTATTACTAGATTATACAAACCTTATAAGCCTCCGTGTACACCGTAGCGTAACAATATTGTGCAATGCATATCAGTTTATGTATTAAAGAATTACTTACTCGCTGATTGCTGGTACTACCGGTTTACTGTGGGTTTGTTTTTGTGCGACACAGTGTAGGTACGTACTTTGGTGTATATTCCTTTGCCGGAGCAATCCACTCGAGCGAGACAACGCTACGCTTTCTGCAGTTATTTTAATTTGTATATATTCCACGATGATTTACGTTACGTCGCTCCCTGCTCACCATCGCCTTCTGTCCAGATAGCATAAGGATTTCTCCTGGGAGTGAGAGTGATGGTTGTTTCGGTGGCCTTGGATGTACTGGGGCAAAGCCGCTCATGTGGACCGTTGTCAGTACAATCGAACTTACGCCGTGACAAAATACTGAATTTTTGTATGGATTCGATCTTTCAGGTCTCTAAAGATCACGTCGTTCCAGACGTAAAGATAAACTTTACCTTCGTGTGTAGGATTTGTTAGGCTTTTAGTTGCTTCTGCTACGCCAGTCAGCGTTGTACTTGTTTATAATTGGCCCATTATATTCGATTATAAATTATGATCTACTATTAGATTTGGAATGCCTTATGGCATCAAGTATATTATAATAATGTAGTTGTATGTAGTTACTTTATCTGCACAACGTTCACAAAATGGCGTTTTTGTACACGTTGTTCAAAGAGCCTTAATAAATATACAAATAACATACAAGCTTAAAGGTTAAAAATAGTAATTTAAAAACCCGAATGCTTAAATAATTACTAAAAAGAGAAAAAAATTTATACCACAATATGTCACTTTCACAACTAAGACAAGTCTAACGACATCTCATATGTTAAAATCCATCAAGCCGTTTAGGCTACTGAGCATGCCAAATAAATATATACATGCATATACTCAAAAAACGATATCCTGCTTCTAGTATAGTCGGGTAAAACTGTTGTCGAAGCACAATAATAAATTAAAGAAAATTTTGATGCATTATCCTACAGTATGTTTACGCCATATCTAATGTGCACATGCCACAGTATGACGTGGCAACACTTGCACTATGAATTAAGCGAATCCCCTGTAAGTGACATCGTTAATCGGTCTCTCGATAATCGATATATAGACGGCACATTATTGTCGAATAAAATTGAACTTTAAGTTATAAGTTATAACATTTTAATTTAAACGCTCATTGACTGAACGATATATTAGAAGGATCAGAATGACGCACCTAGATCGTAATTGAGTGCCAAGTTTGCGGTTTAATGGAGGTTTATACGTGAATAAATTATTGGGTACAATTTCGGTGCGACAGGTTTATTCCGAGCGGATCAAGGTCACAAATTAAGTTCATTTGCTTTATTGACTTGAAAGGTATATCTGTTATATAAGTGTATAGTTAAGAGAGAAGGGAAAAATCTGTCTTAATATACAGGCTATACGCCGTGTAGAGTTATTGTAAGAATATCCACTACCCCATACCATCCCGTGAGTGTCGTAAGAGGCGACAGAGGTAAACAACCCAAATAAATAAAATATTGCGGTTGTCAACCCATTTGCCGCTATAGCAAAGTCCCCCCTTGAGGCAATCTGTGAGGGAGGCCTGTGTTGAGCGGTAGACTTTATAGGATGTAATAGATCGATGGATAATAATACGCAGAAGCCACTTTTAATAAGTTAAAGCTTAAAAGAAAATTCGCCAACCTGTTCATGTATAGGTTTAGGGGAGGCTGAATATTTCGCTTATCTTGAATATTTGATATTAGAAAACTACAGTAAAGTTACAGCCTAAATATGTCCCACTCTTAGGTAAAGATCTCTTATTTATTTCTAAGAGGGTTATGGAGCGGTATTCTGCCGTGCAGGGCATGTAGGCGAACTCTATAATATATCCTTAAAATATTTTATTCCTCAGGCATACAGGTTTACTCACAATGTTGTACTTCGCCACCGGGTACGTGGTTAATCAGCACATAACGATTTCAATGGATGTCAGTTTTTTTTTAATTAAGGTGTAAATGAATAAAGAGTAATAACTTCTTTAATGTCAGAATCGTCTGCACGAAGCAGGTACACTCTTCTTACCTGTCAACTAGTGAAGGTATAAAATAAAATGTAAAAGAGACTCAGATTTGTCCCACTCTACCAGATCGCCTCTCATTTCTGAGCGTGATTTAGGGCAAGGACTGGGAGTGTCGCTGGCCCAATGAGTTTGTGGCCTTTGAAGGAAAAGGGGGATATGGCTACCCCGATAAGGGCACGAAAATTAAGATGACGGATAGCAGTGATTCCGCAAAGACGGTTGGATCGCGCCACGATACCAACAACGTCACTATGCGACGGACACACCCAGTGCGCATTAAAAATTAAAGTTCGACCATTCTAATTTGAGGATTTAGAACTTTATTTCGCGCTTATTAAAGTTCAGGTTGCTAAGCATGACCTTACTGACGATTCCATAAAGTTAACGGAAGTGACCCATCATTTGAATATTCAGTACGCACAAGCAGTGAAGGATATTATTGTCAACCCACCAGCTCATAATCGTTGTACTAAGATCAAGTCAGAGCTGATCTAACGTCTTTCTGCTTCCCAAAAAAAGAAGGTGAAGCTGTTACTGACCTATTAAGAGCTTGGATAAAGGAAATATTTATAAGTTTTGAGGCACCTTTAAGATTTGGCTGGTCCTTTAGTTCCTAAGTACTTCATAATGTCGATTTAGAGCAATCGCCTGCCGCATAATATCCAGACTGTGCTGGCATCACAGCTGACACATTCACTAGAGCAACATGCGACCCTAGCTGATCGCATACAGAAGCGTAACCATGCAGCATCGCTGCCGCATCTTCCCGTGGTGTGCATGTATCTCATCTGTCCGATAAGATTCCAGCGTTGAAGATAATGGTGCAGCAGCTTACACTTAAACTGGACGAGCATACCTGCACCAGCATGCTGCTGTTCTACTATTCGTGGTAGTTAGAGAGCACATGATCGTAACCGTTCTTCTTCCGGACAGAGAAGCAGATACAATTTCAGTGTTGTATTATTATTTGTGTTTGTATTACGCGAAGTATGCATCGCAGGTGCATAGGTGCTTGAAGCCCTTCGATTTTTAACAACTCACTAATGGCGTCAGATGATTGACTTTCCTTTACGGGTCGCCTTTTTGTAACCGATCGCAGCTCGAACACCCAGTTTTTGGTGGGTACTGTCAGTGAACTTTGCGTCTACCCTCGTTCTGCACTATGTGAGCGTCTGGCCAAGACAGATTACCAATCATTTTAGGATCGATCATTGATTACGTCGGGGTCACCGATGTGGACGTTGAAGGAAAAGGGGAGACCTTCCACCGGGTAGGGTGTTCAGGCCGTAGCGCGGCCAACACTCTATGTGTTCTGTTCCGTTCCGTTCCGTGTAGCTACGGGGCTATTATATATATATAGCGCGGTAGCTTAAAAACTGATAGCACGAAGGTTTTGATGCGTTTCGCTTGGGGCTCCACGGCAGCGCCGCCACAAATATTCAAATATCTTCGAGATAATTTTTTACATTTCTCAAATTTCTTAAATATTATGGTAAATCTTGATTAAAAATTTAATCGCAAATAAAAACTTCATTTACCGTCAAATGCCCTAACTTTTCACGAATGTTGATATTATTTAGTTTTGTCGTAAAATAAATTTTGAATTTGTACTTTTTAGCAGATAGAAATTAAAACAAGAGTAAAAACAAGACTTAGGTATAATATATAACATTTATTTTAGACATTACGCTTAATATTAATAACTTTTTGGAGGTATTTCAAGAAAAAGGCAAAGTTATGTCTAATATTCCTAACATTGCCAGAGGCGTTTACTCCAAAATAAATATATACATTTAATCCTGGGACAATCTAAAATGTAGCTTAATAATTCGACAATACAAATCAATTTCGAATAACATCTTTTGGAGTATTTTAGTAGATAAAATTTTATAAGGCAATGTTAGGACACAATTTCTTCCAACATTCATACATTGACAAAGAAAGTGTAGGGTTATGATTTCTTAAATTTACGCGAACACTACACATTGAATAAAACTAAATTTACGGATTTTATCGCGTTTTACTACTTTTACTTATTTTTAATTCCCGACGTTTCGGGTGCTTTACAGCAACCATGGTCACGGGGGGACTGAGATGTTTGACTATTAATTTTTGGTCCGATTTCAAAAACTGAAGGTAGCCGAACTAACTATGACATTGGGACGTCAAACATCTCAGTCCCCCCCGTGACCATGGTTGCTGTAAAGCACCCGAAACGTCGGGAATTAAAAATAAGTAAAAAAAGTAAATAAACGCGATAAAATCCGTAAATTTAGTTTTATTCAAAGTGTAGGGTTGTCTCATAAGAAAAATAAGTAGGTAACAAAGTATTCAAATTATATTTAAAACACATGTTATAACACTTAATCAGTAATTCTCATTGCAAGCAGTTTTTATTAAAATTACAATCAGTCTTTCGAAATTAACCCTTTTTCTTAAGAAACATAATCTATAAACGCACAATATGACGTAGTAAAGTTTTACTTCATTTATCTTAAAAAAATACAACAATATCACAATGAAGTCAAAAACTAATTATCAGGTAATGAATTTCAATAAATGTTTTTTTTTTATATAGAATAGGCTGACAAACGAGCACACAGTCCACCTGATGGTAAGTGGTTGCTGCGGCCCATAGACATCTACATCTATCCTCGATTACGAATTAAAATGCAGATGCGTTGTCACCCGTGAGGACTAAGATGGAATGCCGCATTTTCAGTAAAAAGGGTCTTGTTGGTTTGACAAAGGAACACCTAAATTATCTAAATCAAACTTTAATGTCCCTCTACGTCCAACTTGTGGATTTGGCAACGTTTTTTCTACATCAAGTAAAGTTATTTCTGAGACATCATCTGGTAGTGGCCAGTAAAATGTACCTTTTGAATTTTTTCTTAAGTATTTTATAGTATATTGGCGCTCCAAATCGTTGTACTTGATTACTAGACCAATATAATATTTAGCCAACTTTGATGTTGAAAATTTAACAAGAACTTATTTATCAATACCTATTTCATACATATCATTTTCTTTATCAATATTTTGTTCCAATTCTTCATACATTTCTTCTATGTACGTTTCCGCGTCACTTAAAGATGAAAAAAAATGTTCAGCACAAGATGAATCATGCACAGTATACATTCCTGAGCTTTCTGAACTCGAACCTTGATTGCTCCTACTTTTTGGAAACACCTTTTCATGCTTAGTATAGTCATCTGAAACACTATCATCAAATGAGATTCTATCTGGGGATTTTATAATTACATTGGAGAGAATTCGGCTTTTCGTCATTGTTTCATTTGATGTAGTTGCACCAAAGTTAGAAATATTTTTGAATAAAGTCCGGTCATTTGATAAACATAAATTTTTATCAACATTCACAATAACACCTGGTTGAATGTTGTAAATACTTTTGGTATTTTTCTGGTCAGATAATTCTATATCTCCATGTTTTTGATGTATTTCAGCATTTACTATCAAATTAGTCATAAGTTGGTTATTGTCAGCATCGGATGACGAATCTCGTCTAACGTGTAATGAGACATTGTCAAAAGTATAACCCACACTTTGATTATATATAATCAAAGAATCTGCAATAGTTGAATGTGTTTCTTTCACGTCTTCCTGTAATTGGATTTCTTTGGGGATGATATTCTTCTTAGGATTGAGTCTTTTTGCGTTACTAAGAGTTGTATCTGGTGCTTTTCGTTTTTGAGTTTTTTTCATTTACGAGATCGGTAACAGTTACTGATTTTCCAGGCTCTATAAATATTTTTTTATTTGTATTTCTTATTTGCCGGTTCTCCGGGTTTCTTAAACCTTTCAAATAATTGACAAAAGTCTCATCGTAAGTAATGTTTGCTTGTGGCCTACGATAATCTGGCAATTTCTTTAATATAGCTTCTGGATTAATGGGGTGTATCCCAGCAGCACGAAATCCGCTAATTATGTTTTTATTCTGTGTAATTTTTGTTGCATCTAGTAACATTTTTAATAATTCGGGGAATATTTGTTTGTTTAATGTGTTAGAACTTGGGTGTCGAACTTTGTAGTCCGTTAAAATTCGCCTCTATTCTCTGTTCAATGGGCCGAAAAAAGGCCACATCGAGAGGTTGAGTGTAGTGAGTGGAGTTAGGTGGCAAAAAGATAAATCTGATATTATGTTCTTCACATTTAGTTATTATATTTACATTCATATGTGACGATAAATTGTCTCCAATTAAAACCTTAGGATCAGTGGTTTTCACTGCCCATGGGATAATTATGGTATTAAACCAGTCTTCAAAAGTATACGAATCGAACCAACCAGATTTGGTTTTGTTGTATCTGGTTCTTTCAGGCCCGTTTGCACACCAATTTGTCCACAAATTGTCTGCTTTGTATACGACATATGGTGGGAAAATTTCTCCACTTGCCGTAGCTGAGAACATAACAGATATCGCCCTCTTGGTATTGTTTAGTGTTTTGTTTGGGTATTTAGTACCTGCTTTAAATATGCATTTTTGAGATCCTGGGTTATCGGAAAAGTTGGTCTCATCATAGTTCACTATATGATCTGGTTTAACATTATGCAATGAAATCTTCAAATTTTCAAAATATGTATTGTAGTCCTTTACACTCTTACTGGCTCGGGATTCTTTAATATTATTTGTAGAACGCACCGTCAGGACATTTTTGTGGCGTTTCAAGAAGTTTCTTACCCACTTCTGACCCGGCATTTTGTAGTTAAAAATATTACTGAGTCCATTTTTGATTAAGTAATCATGTACGATTGACCTTAATTCAAAGCTAGTAATAGGATACCCATATTCTCCACAAAGAATTAAACAACTGACTATTTTATGTTCATCAGCTGGTGGCAGTTTGGTGGGACATCCGACTTTTTTCGTGTGTTTTTGTTTTACTTTATTTAAAATCGTTCGGCGAGGGATATCAAATTGTTTCTCAGCGTCGTATGAAGTAATATTTTTATTTTCAACGAGACCTACAGCAATGTTTAGTAAGCTCTCATCGTAATCTTTATATTTTCTTCGCGGCTTGTTCATTTTGATTGTCCTTTAAATAAACAGAAAACTGAGTAAGTATATATATATATATATATATATATATATATATATATATATATATATATATATATATATATATATATATATATATATAGAGACGAAGAGACATTACAAAAGCAAAGCAAGAAATTATCTAAAGTAGGTAAACATAATATATATAGGTTACGCGCCCGCCTAATTAAAATTAATAACAAGTGTCAACCCTAGGCTCGGCAATGTTCGGTACACTTGTTCACAAAACATGCCAAACTTTGCCTACACTACCAGTATTTCTCAATAATTATTAGTGTATTTCTATCGTTAAAAATGACAAATTATCAAATTATCATAGTTTTACGGAATGAGTATAAAACAAGTTAGAATTAAACATATTTTAATGACTTACTTGAAAAGTTTTCTCACAACTCTCGTAACCGCCGTTCTACACTTTAATTCAGCACCCGATTGTCAAAAATCTTTGCATTTTACCAACGTGATGCTACTAATTTTGTGTTGCCAGATAATAATTCTAAAAATATATCAAAGTTTCCGTTGTCAGGCTAATAAAATAGAAAAGATATTACTTCTTTTTCATTATGGGCAAATATTGGACCCGTGGCAAAGTTAGGGAGTTTGACGGTAACCCGATTTAACTACGCGAAACCTCGTTTGTGATTTATACGTGATACAGCCAAGCTGCAGCTATGTAATGCTTGTAGTTTGTATAGCTGTAGCAAGGCTCTAGTGTTTTGTATGGTTAGTTAGAGGGCTGGAGACTCTGTTTACTGTTAGTCTTCTGGGGTAACAACGCATCTGTGTTTTGATTTTAATCAAGGACAGATGTACATATCTGTGGGCCGAAGCAACTTCTCACCATCAGGTTGATGTGTGTACGTTTGTCACCCTTATTTTACCAATAATCCCTGCCTACACCAGCAAATTAAGGATGATAGGTATATTTATTTAAAAATTACAATTTTTATAAAGTTTATTTCATGGATTGTTAATAAAGTTTTGTTATTTTAATATTAAGTAAGTTGTTCTTTAACTGTAACAAAAGAGATTAGAAATAACTACAGACCCACCATTTACAAGTAAATAATTATTTTAAGTATGTCGTGGCATAAAAATAAAATACTACAATCGACCTGTTTTTTCGACTTATAGAATACAAATAAACGCCATACAAACAAAAGAGGCTTAATAAAATGAAAACATACGAGTTCACCATTGCTTTGTGTGAAACATAGTGGTTACATTTGTCTCTCAACAAAAAAATACCTTCGTTTTAGTATGAAAAAAGGAACTACCGGCGTAATTTTTAGGTTTGTATTTTCTCACTATGCTCCCTTTTTTAACAATGTCTATTTTGTCCGTGAAAAGGAAAGTCCCGCTTATTTATTCAAGAGCATTACTTGAAATTGATGTGACGGGTCTTTTCTTTAAAGCTGAAATGTGTTACTTACTATGACTTCCGTTACTATATTATAAAACTTCGTCTGTCTACACTTGAAATATTTACGTTGGGGTAAATTTCTTTATTTATAAGTTGAGTTGGGTGTTTTTATACGGATTAATAATAGGTAAATACTATGTTATATAAATGTATTTATTTTTCCGTTTAATTCCATAGTTAGAAGGATAAAGCAGGTTGCGTTGGTGTGGGCACTCTAAACATCGACCACCAAAATACATCAGAAACAAAGATTTTATTCTGAACATATCTAGGCATCGAAGATGGGGCAGACCGAAATAAAGATAGACAGATCTGGTCAATTAAGATCTCAGCACCCGAAATGAAGCTGAATAAGATGCGTAGGACATAGCAAAGTGGAAGTGAAAACTTTGAACGGTAGACATCATCACTATCAAGGAATCATATCTGCGAAGGAAAGAGAGAGGGTGAAAAACTGTGAGTAAATTGGTCAAGGAAAAAGTAGAGTTTTAGGGGCAATTATCTTCGGTGAGAGACATTACATTTTTATAGTATAAGGATGATAAACGTACGCAGTCCGCCTGAATACTGTGGCCCATAGACATCTATATCTATCTTCGAATGTCATCCCTAAGAACTAAGATGGAATAAAGAATGAAAAAAAGACTAAAACTATTTTACGCTAGTATTTTGTGAAAGCGTGGTTCTTTTTCCGGCCGAGCCGACCTATTCAACTACATACATATACATACATAGAGCTGCGGCGTGGCCTATTTCCTTACTATGAAAGTTTCAAACAAATTTTTAAGTCCATCAGCCCGCTAAGCGTGACATTAAAGGAAAGTCCTCCCTACAGCGGACCTCTCGCGCCTGCTTAGCAGTGGACTTATATAGGCTAATGTCGAAGAAATAGAAGACGATAGACGAAAGAGAAGGACGATAACCATGAATATTGGATTACGAAATTAAAGTCGAAACAATCTCGAATCGAATTGTGAATCTAATTTACGGCGTTGTTCCAAGCTGTCCCTTATCTTTTGATAAAGTAGGGACCATAAAATTCCTATAATGTCCATCCTGTCAAGAACAAGCGCGTAATTTATTTTCTGAGGGACGTTTTTAAAATAAGCTTAAATTATTGTCCCTCTCAATGACATCCTCATAATAAGGAAATTAATTAAATCTTAAATTTAGATGAGAGAAAGATGTGCCCGCAATTTCATTAGCGCAAACACGTGTAAAACACGTTAACTTATGAATACAATTTCTAAAAAAAATATCAACAAAAATATGTCATGTACATAGACTTATTATACTACTGCGTAATCATGTATTAGGAATTATTTTCATCATCACCATAATCATTATCGTCAGTCCATTAAATGCGCAATTGTAATGTAAAGGTATTTCTTGGCAGTTTTGTTTTTTTATAATTTTAACTAAAATGATCGTTAAATGAATATAATTATTTTTGTTCGGTTGATACCACTGTAAAGCAGCAAAATATATTTCATAAATAAATGCTATTTTAATATTTCAGGCGCACAAAATAGAAATAAAAATATTTAACTTCAAACGGAAAGGAGCTTCAACGAGCCCAAAAAAAATAAAAACAGGTGTTCACCTATTATTTTATTCGTTGTTTACACACAACAAGTACAATATATATTATGTAACTCTTATTATGTAATGTGCGAGTAAAAGTATCAATTTAGATAAGTATCCATTTATTACTCACGTAAGTCGCAAGTGTCTTTCAAATCGCTAGGTTTTTAGCAAAAATCTTAAGAAATTAAAATATAAGTGTTTTAAGACTTCTAAAGATAATATTATGTAAACTTAAATTAAAATTATTGTAGTATACTATATGTACCTAATAAATCTGAACTTATCTGTTGGTCGTGTTAAATTAACAAATTATATATTCTTAGGATAGTATACTCGTAGATATGTCTATCGTGAATACTATATTGTAAGACTGTTGATAAGCCTTAGCAATAAAATAACAAAATCGTACTTCTTATGAGTCGCGAATAATAAAACTCCAGACTACAAAAAAAAGAAGGATTTTATCAAATCGACTGTATTTTTACCTCATTATTTTTCCTATGTGAACAGATTTTGGTGATTCTTTCTTCTCTGTTCTCTTTGAAAGCTAGTACTTCTCTTGTGGTGCCATACAAATTTCATCAGAATCTCAACCCTAGGTTTTAAGTTGTCCTTAATACTTCGTAATTAATAGACTT